AAAGGACCTGGGTTCTATTTCCAGCAGCCCACGACAGTTTATAACAATGTAACTGCATTTCTAGGGGATCTGACACCCTCTTCTTGCCTTCCCCGGAACCAGGCAAACACAGTTATACAGACAGTCAAATACACACACAGTTAAAAGAAATTTGTATTGAGCATATTTAGAGCTTTCTTGGATATAAAATATTTAAATATTTACTTCAGGAAGTGTTTAACATTGACCTGTGGGGCAAAAGGGAATGAATATATAGTGCTAATTTAAGTGCTCTAATACCCCAGAAATGTATATATGTTATGTTTATGGAAGTATAGTTGAAGCTCTGGAATGAGACCTCCCACTCTTTTGGAGATAGGGTCTCTTACATAGCCCTGGTTGTCCTGGAACTCTTCCTGTGTGAACAGGCTGGCCCTGAACTCAGATCTTTCCTTCTCCTCCTGAGTGCTGAGATTAAAGGTCTGACTCACCACACCTGGCTTAGGAAACTCTTACTTACATCTTAATTGGATAAAGCCTGTGAAAGAAAATTGGAGAAGTCCCCACTTTTACTATGTGTTTACATAGAGACTCGCCAGCCCTCATTTAATTTTTACCTTTTGCATTTTGATGAAAGTACAGTAAAGGCTTAGTACAGTCACAATAAAAATGCAAAGGTAGAATGACTTAAGACCAAGAGATTCTCAGCGTGTCTCTGCTGTATGGTAATTCATCACATATTTATCGACTAGCACAGACTCAGCTTGTTACCTTCTTCAGCTTAGTCAGCAAAGAATTACATGTTTCTTTAGGGTTAGAGCTAGGGTGCAATAGAATGAATGGGAGAAGGTATACACATACTAGGAAAATGTGAAATATGTAGGGATTATATTTCAGATGAATTCTGTGGTCAGCCATGATTTCTTTTAAAGATGTATTCTTTAAAAGGTATTGAACTTTGCTCTTATGAAGAACTGAGAAAGGCTTTGTCAACAACTGTGAAAAGACTGGAAATGTAACTTGCTACAATTTCATGGATGTTAGAAGACTTGGAAACAGCTGAGTTGGCGTAAAAGGACTCTTTTGTTATTCATGGCACTGCAAGCACTTCTGTAATTGTGGTTTTTTTCCTTGGTTACCCCAGGTTCCAAAGTGGGTGACAAAGGGCTTCAGATTGGAGTTATCCCTAGAGTGGCTTTGCATAGAGCTGAGAAACCCTGAGCATAGAAAAGCTTAATCTTTCATGGTGTGCTGCATGGAAATTTACCTGACCTTAGTTGCAGAATATCTGGGGCAGTGAGCATACCTGATCTTCCTCAGGAAGGGGGAGGTGTTATCTTATAGGACTATTTCTTGAAGGGATAGGAACACATGAAGAAATGCTGGAGACTCTTAGAGCACTGTGTGCTCAAAGGGTTGCATAGAAGATGTCTGAAACTTGAAACAGCACAGTGTTGATTGACTCCAATCTGTGATGTATGTGAGTGTGTATGGTATATTTCAGGTTCCTGATGTGGAATGTCATGATAAAGGAGGAAGCAAAGGTGATTCTCTCTGCAGCTGAGCTTAGCTTGACAGTTGAAGAAAAAATTATTATTGGTAATTAACATCACTAGGGATGGATGAAGTTTTTAGAACTTAGAATGGTTGTATTTTTAGAACCATAGTCAGAATTTCTTAAATTTTTTTAAATTTTATTTTCTGTGTATGACACTTTGCTAATGTATGTACGTGCACTCCATGTATGCCTGGTATTGACAGGAGTCAGAAGAGGGCAATCACTAGGCCCTCCACCAAGTGGGTGCTAGGAACTGAACCCGGGGTCCTCTACTATCCAAGATGGTTTCTTTCCAGCTCTGGCAGCCCTGGAACTCACTCTGTAGACCAGGCTGGCCTAGACTCACAGAGATCCGCCTGCTTTTGCCTCCTGTGTGCTAGAATTTATGCCTGGCTCACAACAAGTAAACTATAGCGCCATCTCTCCAGCCCTGTTAGGATTTCGTAAACTGCTTAAAAGTAAGTTTTAAAAAAATGCAATTTCGGTTTTGTATCTTTTCCAACTTATCCCCGGACTTAGTTAGGTGTATTTGGCTTGATAGTTGGCAGAATCAGGCCAGTGAATCTCCTGGTGAATGTTCATGAACTAATAATATGAGTTGCGTTGGTAACTTAAACGTGACGTAAGTTTTGTAATGGTGACTTTTACTTTTTAGTGCTGAAAAATATTTCCTGTTTTAACAAAGTCATCTTAAAAAAGATTCCTCCCATACTTGTTTTTTATTTTATATAACAATAGACTAACAAGTTTAAGACATAGAGAACAATGTGACCAGGTAACATATTGTGGTTGGAGATTGGGGCAGAGTAAAACCTCCCATGGAATATCCAGGAAGCCCAGAAGAGTTGGGTCTTAATGATCCTCTAAAAGGATATATCTCCTCACCCAGTGAAAGATTCTATCACCTCTCAGTTTGTCACTCTGGGGAGTAGGCCTTTGGGGGACCTTCAAAACCCAAAATTATATAGCAGGATGAACATTTGAAAGTTCAGTAGAATAGAAATGAATTATTCTGTTTAGCATTTTTATATATCTCTACTCCCCCTGTTGGATCATTCAGCTATAATGCCAAGGGAAAATATTTTGTGCCTTTAGGCCAAAGATTGTGTTTGTGTCTTAATAGCACCTTCAATTTATATAACCCTTTCTGAGACATGTAAAGGTGTGTGTGTGTGTGTGTGTGTGTGTGTGTGTGTGTGTGTGTGTGTGTAAGAGAGAGAGAGAGAGAGACAGAGACCGACAGAGACCGACAGAAGGAGGTGGAGAGAGGAGAGAGAGAATGTGCGTTGAGTTTGTGTGTCTGATGTTAGGGTGATAACAGCTCCTGTAACAGTCTTCACTTTTATGAATTCAGTGTTAAGTGTTTGTGGATAGATGACTGTGCATACTTTCAGGTTAGGTTAGAATTTTCATCAGATTTTCAAAGAATTCTGTGGCTTAAAAATGTGGACCAGAAGCCGGTCGTTGGTGATGCACGCCTTTAATCCCAGCACTTGGGAGGCAGAGGTAGGCGGATCTCTGAGTTTGAGGCCAGCCTGGTCTACAGAACAAGCTGTTCCAGGACAGCCTCCAAAACAATACAGAGAAACCCTGTTTGAAAAACCCCCCAAAAAATGTGGGCCAGATGTTACTTTGAACCAAGCAGCAGTCTTTGTTAGCTATATGGTTTGGCTGTTTTGCTCATGGTTATCAGTAGTCTTTAACCTCCCTTATGAGAAGCAACGGTGGACTTACACTGAGGCTTGCCTAGGACACAGTGGAATAAAGTCTCCAGTTCACTCTCTCTTTAGGTGTCGTCTTACAGGATGTATGGCATTCTTTTCATAAGGTTAAAATGTCTAGTTAGCATTTTGCTTCGGGAGATTCTTTGTCCTTTTAATGTATTTTGCATTTTATGCTTAGAATATATGATTCCTGTTGGGTAATACATACAATTCTTAGGAGTTTGTTGACTGCAAATACATAGTTATTATTAAAACCCTATGCAGGCTGATCAGAAAGGTCAAGCTGTAGAGCCCTTACCCGCCACACTCAACTCTCAGTTACTGCCATGACTTATGGGCATTGAGACTAGTGAGGGGAACCCCTTGCTTCATCCCTTTCAGATGTGTTTGTTTCTAGTTAATTGTGTTGTAGAGATGTAAAATCATGTGCTTCCTAAAGAAGCAAACAATTGGGGAGCAGCAAAGGGTGTAAGATGGTCTACTGAGTGAACTAATAACTCACAGTGAAACATGCACTTGAGAATAAAACTTTGCATCTCCAGGCTTGAACTGAGCACTTTGTCAATTACCCCACTTTTGTGAAGTAGTTACTTTTCTCGTGGTAAGCATTAGGCAGGCCTGTGTGTTTCTGTTTCCTGGCGTCTGCAGTGAATGCCTCATTGTGCTTTTCTGGAAGCCTTTGTCATAGACAGTTTCCTAACATTCAGTCAAACTTTATTGGACAAGGTTGGAGAGTTTTCTCAATCCGGATTTCAAAGTATGGCATCCCAAAGTTTTAAAAAGAGCATGATGTTTAAGATTTAAATGAACAGGGTCAATGGTGACTCAGGGTTAAGGAGTCTTGCTGCCACCTTGAAGGCAGATGTTCAATCCATGAAAACACACTCTAAACACAAGTAAATGAAACAAAAATTCACATAAAATACGCTTTTATCATAATTGTCTTTGACAAATAAAAAACAAAAGCATAAACTTAGTTTTTAAAAGACCTTTCAATTTTTTTGGAGTTAATGATACAGGCTTATCGTTTTTCTATTTGACATCTTAGGTTTTTTTTATCTTCTGCCTTCAAATTAATTGCTGTGTAAACTAGATTGTATAATCTGTGTTGGTTTTTCAGACAAAAGCAAATGGGTCTGTCTTTACATCTCATAGCCTGCTTTAAAAATGAGGATCTGCTTACAGAGCTAGCTCAGCTGAGTTGCGAGTCCTTGTCTTTGCTGAGTACAGAACCAAATATCTAAGACACGGCTTTGTGTCTAGATAGCAGATGTGACAGTACTTCACAGGTATCGGGGAAGCGTTAAGTGCTGTCCATCAGCTTTCAGTGTCTTTGGATACAGAGACTTTCACAGTTGGCCTTGTGAATATGAAGACCACTGGGGAACTGTGTTAGGTGTGTGGCGTGGTTGGCAAGGTGGCTCTGGGTGGAGATGCTTGTTTTGCCAAGCCCGAGGACCCGAGTTCGGTTCCTGGTACCCACCTAACGGGAGGAGAGCTTCAGTCCCAAAACACCTTCTCATCTGCACGCAGCCACTGTGGTGTGCACTTGCTCATGTGCACGGCACATAAATGCAGTCAAAATGAAAAAGATTAACATCATATGGTTGAAATTATCAAAAGATGAATAGAGACAATTCTTATTTTCTGTAGAAAATGGGATCGAGATTATATTAATTTAGTCTTCAGTTCTGCTTTTGATGTGACTCAAGTTTTAATTCTCTCTTTTAACCTTACAGGCCCCTTCACAGATGTAGTCACTACAAACCTTAAATTGCGAAATCCATCGGATAGAAAAGTGTGTTTTAAGGTGAAGACCACAGCACCTCGTCGGTACTGTGTGCGGCCCAACAGTGGAATCATTGACCCAGGGTCAATTGTGACTGTTTCAGGTAGCGGCCGTTCATGCCTAGACTTTTGCAGTTTTGAATGTTGACATTTCATGACTGTTTGATTTAGAGTGTTTTCATCTGTTTGTACCTGGCTTCAGTTTTTGTTTAAAGGTGTTCTTTGGGTACCCTGCCATAGAAACATGCAAACATTTATTGCAACTTTCTCACTCTCATTTTGTATGTAGGCACATGATAGATCTCATCTCTCCTTTACTTCCATAGCTCACCACCATATTTATTCCGCGTTCTTACTAGCTTATATTTGAAAACGGCACTGTTTCGCTATAAAATCTTGCAGCCACAGAAGTGTTTTGACTTTTGACTTAAGAACGTGTACCTGTTTTGGCCTACTTATAAAATCAGATGAGCACTGTGCCTTCAGTGTGAGCGCCAGCGGGTCTGACCTTGACACTGCTCTGCTCATAATCTCTCATAGCGGTTCCTTTGCGTCTGCACCATTTATTCCTGCTGTGGAGTCTGCTGGTGCTATGGAAATGTCCTCTGTAAAGTGTTCTTTCCTTTCCTGGGCAGACCTTCTGACCGCTTAACAACATCTGCAACATCTGCATCATTGCAAGATAGGCAGCAAGCCTGAGGATGTGTGGCTCCATGTAGCTTACTTGTGAGAGCCTCTCTCACAATAGTTCTCAATTCCCGCTTTTCTTAATTACAAAGGGAGCAGGAAAACACATGGATTCTCTGTCATGTCAGATCATGGGGCTCAGTTTGGGGAGCATGGCAGAGAAATGCATATATTAAAAACCCACTGATTCCTGATAACACTTTGAAAATTTTAAGATCTCAAATTATATAAGGCCTGTTGGGAATATTTAGAAGTAGAACACAACTGCTGCAAAGATGCCATGCACATTCTTAGTAATAACTAATTTATTGTTTATTATCTGGCTTGCATTTGTGTCACATGGATTTGGCAGATAACAAAAGTGAACTTAATAATTGAAAGTTACAAAGTTGATTGTGCATCTTTAGAATGAATAATATATTTGAGTTTTTGAACCTATCTTTATTTCTTTAAATTTATGTGTTACTGAGATAATAGGAGATAAAATGTCAAGGATAATGTGTCCTTTCTTTCTATTTAGTAATGCTGCAGCCGTTCGATTATGATCCAAATGAAAAGAGTAAACATAAGTTCATGGTACAGACGATTTTTGCTCCACCAAATATTTCAGATATGGAAGCTGTGGTAAGTAACTGTGGAAGTACAGAAATTATTTGCAGATGGTAGTTTAAACTTTGGGTTTGCTTATCTCTCTAAAATCCTGGTTTCCTTACCAGAAATTAAATATCTGTAAATCTGTTTGGAACAAAATTTAAAGAAAAGTCTTAAAATATGTTTTCTTCGAAACCATTTATTTAGAAATGCTACCACGAAGAAGAAAGTCATGCGTATTGCTAATGACGTTGCCATTCTTTTCATTATATTTTTATTTGTTTTATTGCCTATGTGAGGAGGCGTGTGGGGGTCAGAGGGCAGCCACAGCCCCTCTCTCATCACGTGCTTGTTTGTGTTTCTTTAAGTGGAAAGAGGCAAAACCTGATGAATTAATGGATTCTAAACTGAGATGTGTGTTTGAACTGCCGAATGAAAATGATAAACTGGTAAGTAGGAGTCGCCAGACAGTTGGCTATCAGCACCGAGTTTGGACTTCGGTGGCGAGTGTCGTGAGACTTAAGTCTAAAAAGCTTGGTAACGCTGTTTGCCTTTCATAGCTTTTTGTTTGACAAAGAAAAAATAAATCTTAATTTTGGGTTCAAATTGCAGAGAATGCTCTCAAATCTTATTTTTTTAGAGTAAGATAGGCATACATAAATATAATTATGAAAGATTAGATTAGAACCTCTTTTTGAGTAACTATTAACATTCTTGGGATTAAATAATTTATAAGAATAAATAAGTGGTTTTTTTTTCAGTTTAGCCTTTGTCAAGTATTTTGAGTATTTTTGTTTTTTTAATCAAAATCAATTTTATTTTTTAGTAAATAGTGTGTTTCTTGATTAATATTAAGAAGTTATGCTTTTGTGGCCTGAAAGATAGATGCATTTAGTAAGAGCGGACCTACTGTAGTCTGTAAGGTGGGCATGGTTACCTTATTCCTATCTTCTTTTTGGTTTGTTTAAGAGTTTTACTGTACAAGTCTGATTGCCTTGCCTTCGTGTGTGTCTGTACCTCTTGTGCTGGTGCCCTCTGACCAGAAGAGGGCGTAGGATCCCCTGGAACAGAGTTCCAGCCTGCTGTGAGCTGCCCTGTGGGTGGGTGCCGGGGATGGAGCCCAGGTCCTCTGGAACAGCAGCCAGTGCTCTTAATCACTGGGCTGTTTTTCCTGTGGTTTGTAGGAGGGATTGTTTTTATGTGTGTTGAAATATGTAAAAGAATGGGGGTAGTAGATAAACTTGGTATAATACAGTTTATAGTCTGACATGACTCTTGCTTTGCTCTAGGGACACATTTGCTCTGTTCAAAAGTAAACTATTTAAGAAAGCTAAAGTGAAGATGCTATTGTTCATTAGGTACTGGGCAAATGACTCACTGAATTCTCAACATAGAATCTGAATTCTAACTGCCAAGAGTGAAAATTGTGGTGTGTGTACTTTCCATATTTCCTTTTTATTTTGTGTTGACTCAAAAATGTTAACATTTATCTAACAACAACAAGAAGTAGTAAGTTTAGTTTGATTGACATTACTTTGAAATTACATTTGGATTTTATTTCACTTTAGGCTTTTAAAAAAACCATTAATAGTTTATTAGACACAGATCTGCTTATCTTTCATCGGGTTTCCATTATACTCTGGATATTGGACAAGTTAAGAATGAAAAATTAAGTCTGAGGAAGTTAGAGCCTAGGTACTGATGTGATTCAAAGAGGTTCTTGTTGCTTTAAACCAGCAAGAAATGGATGGGCAGTGGAGCCCTCCAGACCACGAGGAAGAGAGGTGTGGGCATAAGAGAAGGCAGTCCACAGCTATGGGAGAAACCCCTGGGCACCCATTTGCCCCTTGGCCAGATATTAAATGAGGTAGTTCTCCCGGTTCCTGCTTCTCTGCTGTGGTAGTAATGCCAGTGTTTCCCACCACGGTCAGATCCCGGGCCTCCATAAGTTAGTAGTAGAGTGTCTTCCTGTTATTTGGACCGCTTGTATTTGTTGTGTATTAAATTGGAGTATCTGCTTTAGAACCAGAAAATACGACACAAGGTTGGCAAGAGGAGTGAGTATACACTGAGTACATGACCAGCTTTTATAATTGTGGGTCACAAGCCCTGGATTTCCCTTCTTTACTGCTCTTGTCCCAGCTTCCCCATGCTAACCATCCTAGACTTGGGATTTTATTTATTAACGTGTATTTCTTTAAGGGCTTAAAGACAGACCCACAGAAGAATTCTAATGTGTTGATGTTACTATGCCTTTAAATTTTAATGTATTCACATTTATTAAGCTATCCAAATAGCATTCAGATGTGTTCATCTAATGTCCCTAAAATGTCCCTTTTTTTGTAGTTTGTTGAATTGAGGTGAAAAGGAAGTCCAAATACTACAGATGATTTATTTCTTTAAGTTAGTAGTTTCCTCTTTTTTTTCTCTTCCAGAAGTAATAAATGAACTAGGTTTGCCTACAAACTTTGCTGCATGCTAAGTTTTTTTTTAAAGATTTTTAATTATTTGTGTGTACATGTTTGCCATGTGTTGTGGGTACTTGATGTGTAGAAGTCAGAATAGGGTGTTGGATCCCCTGGAGCTAGAGTTATAGGCAGTCGTGAACCCCTTGATGCTGGGGTCTGACCTTGAGTCCTATGGAGGAGGAGCGGCTGTTCTTAACTGCTGACACATCTTATTGGTCCCCACATGATGGTTTGTACCATCGCTTTCTTGTATCTTGTTTCTTGGTCTAATATTCCTTACTGCAAGTTGGAGCCTAGAAGCTTGATGGAATTGAGATTTGTTTTTGGTGGTGGTTGTAGATAAAGTACATAGCCTTAAAGGGCAGCATTTAGGTGAGTCAGTTTCATCCAGGGATGGTTTGCTTGTTCTCTACTTACAAGAAGCTAGTGCTCACCCTACACTTGACATTTAATACAGTTTATGAAGGCAGGTTAAATGGCTGAGTCTTTTTGTTACTTACTCCCCCCCCATTTTGAAAGACAAAGTCTCTATGTAGCCCTGGCTGTCCTGGAACTCACTGTGTAGACCAGACTGGCAAAGACCGTCTTGCGGTGACTGTGCCCAGCTTTTAGTTTTTTTTTTAATACATATTTTGAAAATGTCATACATGTATCCAGTGTGTTCTGATCATAATTACCCCTCTTCCTCTTGGGCCTTCCTGTGTGCTCCTTTTTCAACTTCATGGTTGTGTCCCCTTACAAGTCACCTCTGCTGTGGTGAAGTATAAGCTTCCCCTCTCCTGCCTGTCTTGCTTGCAGTATAATTACATATTGTGGATTACTGTATATACAGCAGTGTATACAGTTCATGCCTTAGGAGCTGGGGAGATGGCTTGCTTGCTGCAGTACTTTCGGGTGCTAGGACCTGAGTTTGAGTCCAGCATTCATGTAAGAAGCAAAGAAGTGCTGTGTGCGTCTGTAACTTCAGCACCGAGGTCTCTCCCCACTCCCACTGCAGGGGACCCAGATTCCTGGAGCTCACTGACTCCATCCTTGCCAAAGTGGTGAAGCCCAGGTCCAGGAAGAGACCTTGGAAAAATAGACACCAACCTCAACCGAAGGCTTGCATATGAACTTGTAAATCTACACCACCCCCCGGGTCTCGGTCTCGGTCTCGGTCTCGGTCTCGGTCTCGGTCTCGGTCTCGGTCTCGGTCTCGGTCTCGGTCTCGGTCTCGGTCTCGGTCTCGGTCTCGGTCTCGGTCTCGGTCTCGGTCTCGGTCTCGGTCTCGGTCTCGGTCTCGGTCTCGGTCTCGGTCTCTCTCTCTCTCTCTCTCTCTCTCTCTCTCTCTCTCTCTCTCTCTCTCTCTCTCTCCTCTCTCTCTCTCTCTCTCTCTCTCTCTCTCTCTCTCACACACACAAATTAAATAAGCATTTGTGTTGTAACCTCATACATGCAGTTACTACATTATTCTTATTTGGTTGTTTAGGCTCTTTAGGCTGTTTCTTGAGCCAATTTGACCCAAGTAACCACTAGTAACTTTAATTTTTAATTAGATTACACACAGGATAGGTCTCGTTGTTATAATTTCATAAGTGTACACTATGTATTTTGAACATACTCTTCCCATTACCCTCTGCTTTCTTCTGCCACTCATCAATCCTTTTCTTTCCCAGCTGTCTTCCTTCTGCTTTCTTGCTTTACGGGAGGATGGGTGGGTGCCAGTTAGTTTACAGGGCTGTGCTCCCCTTGCTAATGGTGAATGAAGAAAAACACTTCTCCTCCATCCAGCAGCAGTTAACTGAGTGTAAACCCTGGGTTGGATGGGGTGGGGCTGCATGAGCTCTGCGGCTTCCCTTGACAGGGTTTGGCAGGCTCAGTCTCGGGATCTCTCATGTGTGGAGGTAGTCACAGCTGCTGTGAATTGAAGAGCGTCACACTGCACTCCCGTTGCAGCATTACCATTTTTCTTTTCCCATATGCTTCTCTTAGAGCTGTGGAGGGGATTGTCTGTGTCCTGTAGGGATTAGCATTTGGCAGTCACATATTATTAGTATTTTGACCAGTTACAAGTCTTTTTGTCACTACCGATTTAGGAAGTGTATGCCTTCGTGTTTGTCTGCACTGTGTGTTTTTTGTTATCCACAGAGTCCAGACAGAAGAGGGCATTCTGTCCCCTGGAACTAGAGTTACAGGTGGTTGTAAGCTACCGTGGAGTGCTAGGAATCTGCTTGGGCTACTCTTGGGTCCTCTGCAAGGGCAGCCAGTGTTCTTAACCAGCTCACTAGGAACCTTTTCTGATGTGATATGGCCAAGATTTTTCCAGGCCCAGACTTAGAACCATTCCTTAAACTTTGGAAGTGGTAACAGGAGCATTGCTATGAGTTCCAGGTCAGCCTGTGCTACAGAGTAGTTAAGACCATGTCTTATAAAACTAAACCAAACCAAACTCTGGGTTCTTTGGGTTAGGATGAGTCTGTCACTAGATTGGCAGTGACTTTTAAGACAAGGTTTTACTGTGTAGCAGCAAACCCTTATGTAGACCTCCTGAAGTACCGTCTTGACATCACTATAGAAATGGTTTGTAACTCTGATGGCCCTTTGCCTTGCTGATACATTTTTGTTTTGTTTTGTTGTTTTGGAGGACAGGGTCTCTGCCCCAGGAAGTCACTGTATGTGTAAGCTATCCTCAGACTTGTGGCAGTCCTGTCTTGGCATCTTAAGTGCTTGTCTTTTAGGAGTGAGCTCTTACGATAGTTGGTGGGTGTTTTTACATATTTATAATTCCCATTTCAATATTCACATATAAGATGAGATGTGGTAGGGATGTAGCTTAGTGAGTAGGTGGCAGGTTTAGCATACCAGAAGCCCTGGACTAGATCCCAGCTGGCCTGGAATCCCAGCTATTCCATAGGTTGAAACTGGAGGACAGTTCATTTCTGGAAGTGTTCTGAAAAATACTTTAGGAAAAATGGTTCTCTGTTCAAGCTCTGCTGTTGCTGCTCACCTGCAGATTCTACTGGAAAGGTTAATTAGTGTGCTCTATAAGGGGTTCAGTTCTATTAGGTTGCAGGTATGTCCTTCTGTCGTGTTCAGTTTAATGGTGTATATCATCTTTACGAAAACTGAAACCTCAGATCACTTGATGTAAAGTCTTGATGGTAGAAGAAAATGGAAAGTTTTTTGTTACTTAAACCTTGTTTTAGCTAGCTAGAAGTACACACAAAACACCTTGTATTACTCTGTGGTAGTTAGAGTTTGCTGATTTTGTTCAGTTCAGTAGTATGTATCAAAAAGAAAGGTGAATTGATGAAGGTGCTAAAAGTCAGTGTCTTGACATTAGCTTCTTTGTACCTTTTTGCTAAAATTACCTACCCCTTTCTGCATGTTTATCTTAGGTTTAATATGAAATTTGTGTTTTTTGGAAGTTTAGGCATTGGATAATCCGATGTCTAGATGAGTTTCGTCAGTTTGCTTCAGGTATGGTTTTGTTAATCATGTCTTGCACAAACTAAGTACATTTCCAAATGTGCAACGTCAGCAAGAACATTAGGAAAAGTGTGCTGGTAGTATACAGTTATTAGAATGCACAGTATAGAACCTGATAGTTTCCATTAGTAATTACTCTTGTGACACAGTGAATTGACTTACTTTTACTTAGTCAGTGGGGCTGGAAACTGAACTCTGGTCCTGCAGCGTGCAGCACCCCCCCCCCCCCAAAGACACACCTTGCGGCTGGTATATGTGCTGACTTAACAAGCAAAGTATGGTGTGGTTTTCTAATTAAGTTGCCCGTAGCAGCTGCAGCTGAGTATGGTGGAATTTGTATCATCCTTGTTTAGTGTATGAAAGTGGGAGCCTGTGTAGAATTCCCTACCCTTTGCTCTGCGTATGTACAATGTGAGCTAATTGCCGGCACCTGTCTCACTGACAGCCACCAACCACACTCGCCTCAGTTACTGGTAGTATTTTTAAGGATGGAATGAGCCTATATTGTTTTTATAACCTATTCGGTCTGAATTTGAGTTTTAAAAACATTAAAAGCCTTAATAAGCCTACTTGATTATTTTCCACATTAATTAGATGTATATATTTAGTGTAATTGTTCTCTACATAACATCTGGTAGCAAAATACTTTCTGCAAAAACTGATGCATTCATGACAAGGGGACTGAACGGAGCAGGGGCTCAGAAGCCTTTTGTCAAGGCTTCTATTTCAGAGTACACGCTGCTGCTTCTGTTGAGACACAGTAGAGCGACGTCTATTACATATTATTTTGTGCCGTCCTTTTTGAGTTACGTTTTAACTATACCAAGAGAATTTGAAAGGTAAGTAGGGAACTGTGGAGTTAGGTATGCTAACCAGAGTGTTGCACCGATCTTTGAGTTTTTAATGGCCTGGTGTGTGTTTGAGAGGTAACAGGGTCCCTAAGTATAAAAGAAGTTTACAAGATCATTAGCGGTTTTTAGTTTTCAAGGGAAAAATTTTCACGTCAAGTCTTATTAAAGGCAAGAGAACATGAAACTGAATATTTTTCAGATAATGACAAGTATGAGGTTTTTTTAAAAGTATATACATTTAAGTGAAGGCATGCAAAAGGCCATACCTAGTTTTGTGTGAGCTAGTTCAGAAAGTTTTTTATTTTTTTGCTTTGATGTTCTGTTTCTTATGGATTTTTTATGGAATAAGATGTCAATGCTTTACAAGCTAAAGCTATTTGTGTTAGCCATTCCCAGTGTCATACGGGAGAAATCAGTTTGTATGAATCTGAGAATATTTTTCCCATGCTACCTCAGGGTAAAACTCCATCAGGGATTGCTTCAGCTGTCACTTCAATCAGCAGTGTTAGCAACACAGTTGCAACACCTGCCAGTTATCGCATAAAGAATATTCCCAGGGAAATATAAGACGTGAAGCAAGTTTGTCATAGTAGCTAACAGAAGCAGGAGTCTACTAATGTTAGTAAGTTAATGTAGATACCTTACCTAAGCAGAGAAGTAATAGTGAGTGCCTTAAAGTTAGAAATTTAGAAAGCCTTTTTGAGGCAAGATCTCATGTTGCCTAGATTGGCCTCATTGTGAAGCCAAGGCTGACCTTGAAGTTCTCACCCTTCTGCCTCCACTTAGAAGTGCTGAGCCTGCAGCTGTGAGCCGCTGCTCCTGGTCTGTGTTGGGGATAGAGCCCAGGGCTTCCTGCACGCAGGCAGCCTGCTGAGTGAGAGCCGCCCCAGCGTTTGCCTTGACCGAGTTACAGTAGGACTGAAAGGTACAGGGACAGCTCTGCTCTGAAACAGTGGTCAGTAGAGCCACAGTTGTCATGCTGGACATAAAGTGAGCACTGCTGAGCTGGCGTGATTTTCCCTTGAATGAGATTTGGGAGCATATGCTGAAAACTGAATGTGCAGCTTGTTTGAGTTAGCCTGGTAGATCTGCAGTAAATAGTAAGGGTGGGGGCTGGCAGACACTGCTTCTCCACAAGCGTTTGTGTTTGCAGAAAGGAAACACAGGAATAGTAACCTTTATTTACCTGCAATGCCCTGGGATTTAAAAAAAAATCTCTGACTAAAAAATGAGGCCGTAATTTAACTCTGTGCGGTATATGCTTGAATGCTAATAATTTAGGGTAACTGAGTCTGTTGGTAAAATGGGTTCTGATAATTCTTTTTAGCGTTTATTACTTACTGGAAAGTTCAGAAATGTTATAATTAAGATTAATAGTTAAATGCTATATGTTCTTGTACTTTGATTTGGCTTAGAAGAGGATATACATAAAATAAGGCTTTAAGAATTCTTAAATTTCCCTGGGCGTTGGTGGCACATGAGTTTAATCCCAGCACTTGGGAGACAGAGACAGGCGGATCTCTGAGTTTGAGACCAGACTGGTCTACACGAGCTAGTTCCAGGACAGCCTCCAAAGCCACAGAGAAACTCTCTTGAAAAACAAAATTCTTTAATTTCATTTTTGTGTGTGGTGCTTTGCCTACATGTCATATATGTGCACCACCTGTGCCTTGTGTCAGTGGAGGTGGGGAGGGCATCACATCTCCTGGAGCCAGTTACAGATGCTTGTGAACCACCATGTTGGTGCTAGGAATCAGATCCAGGTCTTGGGGAAGAACAGCCAATTTTTTTTTTTAAACAGCTGGACCATTTCTAGCCCGCTAATAAGGCTTTAAAAATACCTTTTATTATCTGAGTGTGTTATGCAGTTGATGTACACCTTTAATCCTAGCACTGGGGAGACAGAGGCAGGCAGAGAGCTGCTGTGAGTTCAGGGCCAGTCTGGTTTATATAGCTAGTTGCAGGTTAGTTAGGGCTGCGTGGTGAGACCTGTCTCACACGAACAAACATACCTTTTATCTATAGTTCTAATTCTTTTTGGCCTTATATTTGGAATTATTTATTTTTGTAATCATGGACCTAGAGAAACCATGCATTTGCTGTTAGATTAGGAAGAACAAGAAAAAACATTCAGAGAGCATTATTGTTCAGATACTTCAATTCACAGATTAAAGCTTTAATTCTGACAGCATAGCCGTATTTTTCCGCTGTATACCATCTTTATGAATTGACGCCTTTTACTCAACACGTGCTATGAAAATGTCCCTAGTCCCCGTCTTCACAGAGCTCATGCAAATGCTTGTTCTGCCATAGATCTGACCTCCACTTTCTGAGTTTAGTCCCTAGCTCCTTTCTATAACAGCCCCTACAAAGTTATCAAAGTAGAAGTCCTTATGGGGCTACTGCAGGTAGGCAAAAGAATATAATAGTGGAGAATGTATGACACGCAGTCTTGACATTTTAGTTTATTCTCACCTGAGGATTTAAGGTAACGTCACAGCATGTTTTATTTTATTTTTTAGTTGACTTATTTCATGGTCCTAGTCCCCTATCTGCTGGGATTAAAGGCGAGCATTACACCCCACATAAATTTTTTGGGACTTTAATAAGTTTTTTAAAGTTATTAGAATTCCCCTCTCTTCACTATTAGCTTCATATATACCATTCTGTAGTCAGCACTGGGCCAACAGTGTGATGTTTTGCTCCAGTACTGGGGTTGAGCTTATGACCTTATGTGTGTGAGGCAAATGCCCTGCTGTCCAGCACTGCCTTCGTTGTTAAACAACACTCAAGGACTCTGTCTGTTGTTGAATCCTGCCTGCTTTACAGAGGGAACACAGCTTTCCTGTTTGAAATACAGGTTGGATTGTGCAAGGTGGGGTGTGAAAACTCAGTTTGAAGTGAATTTTAATTATTGTCAGAAAATAGAATAAATATTTTAACAAAGCATAATCAGGTACAGATTTTTTTATGCTAGAAATGGACTTGGTTGGGCATTGGAGAGTTTGTGGTGAAGAATTGTCAGTGAGAGAAGCTCAGAGCAGATTTAGGTAATTAAGTATCTCTTCAACCCTGAAATCTGGGAAGATCTGCCGGGAAGTCAGGTAGCCAGTGTTGTGCGTTAGAACCCCTTATTGCCGTCATCGTATTTTCCTGGACTGAGTATTTTTGGCCAAAGCGTGTGTTTAGGGGAAAATAACAGAAATGCCTCTTCTCCTACTTGGGATTCTGGATGAAAGAATGTGAAAGATCAATTATTATGATGCTGTGTTAAGGTAAGTCCCAAGAGTACAGGGGGAGAGGAAGCAGGCTGCTTATTTTGATTTATCTAACTTCTGGTAGTTTGTGGCATTCTCCATTGAAAATTATCTATAGATGACCATATTTGGTACTAGTAATTAGTTGAAACTTGTCACCTGTAGGACGTTTTTAGAAAAGATGTGGAGTTTAGATTTTTGTTAGTTAAAATCCATAAATGTCTTAGTTAAAGATTCCCAATGTCCTTGAAATACAGAACGATACGGAGCCCAGCAAAGCTGTTCCCCTGAACGCATCCAAACAAGACGGACCCCTGCCAAAGCCGCATAGCGCCTCCCTCAGCGACACGGAGACCAGGAAGCTGATGGAGGAGTGCAAGAGACTTCAGGGGGAGGTGATGAAGCTGTCAGAGGAGAACCGGCACCTCAGGGTAAGTTCTCCTGCCGCAGGGAAGGCACAAGAGCGGCTTTCAGAAACATAACGTGGGGCCGTGTGGAGTGTTTCAGTAAGAAGGAGCAGTTCGTTCTTTTACACGGAGTAAGGAAGACACTACTTAACCAAAGAGCAATTTTCAGTCTAATTGAGAGCTTCCTGCAGTCTGAGCCATGGTAACTTTTCACACATATCTTGATGTTCTCCATGGTCCTTAACATTGTCTACCACAAAATAAGTCCTTGTGTGTCTGCCACATGGCTTTCCAAGTTGTACTGAATTAGTGACCCTACTAAGTGTAGTGTACTATTGGTAGTCTTTTGGCTGTAACCAATTTACAACACCACAGGACACATCCATTGGAAGTAAGCTTATGTGGTTTTATAGGAATACACACTTGAGCTTCTGTTTTGAGAGTCAGTGTTACTGAGGTGTAATTTACATCACATGTGTGCACGGGTTGTGATTGTTTAGGCAGGTTTATAGTTATTCAGCTATTACTTTAAACCTGTTGTAGACTTCTTCACAATCCCACAGGTTCCCAAGGTAGATAGCAGTTATTCTTGCTCCTATTCCTAGCCATACACATCTACTGATCTCCTTTCTATCTGTAGGAACTTTTAGCTTTGACATTCACCTGCATGTGTTACCTGTTTAAAAATGTGTCTTGTGTATTTCCCCCAGGATGAAGGCTTGAGACTTAGAAAGGTAGCACACTCGGATAAACCGGGGTCCACCGCAGCTGCGTCCTTCAGAGACAACGTCACCAGCCCTCTTCCTTCTCTTCTGGTTGTAATCGCAGCCATTTTCATTGGATTCTTTCTAGGGAAATTCATCTTGTAGAGTGAAGCATGCAGAGTGCTATTTCTTTTTTTTCTCTCGACCAGAAAAAGATTTGTTTACCTACCATTTCATTGGTAGTATGGCCCGCGGTGACCATTTTTTTGTGTGTACAGCGTCATATAGGCTTTGCCTTTAATGATCTCTTACGGTTAGAAAACACAATAAGACAAACTGTTCGGCTACTGGACACATTGTACATTGTCAGATCATCACTAGCAGATGCCAGTTGCACATTCAGTCCTTTATGAAATTCATAAATAAAGAATTGTTCTTTCTTTGTGGTTTTAATAAGAGTTCAAGAATTGTTCAGTCTTGTAAATGTTATTTTAATAATCCCTTTAAATTTTATCTGTTGCTGTTACCTCTTGAAATATGATTTATTTAGATTGCTAATCTCACTCATTCAGGAAATGCCAAGAGGTTTTCTGTGGGGATCTGGTGCCTCTTACTGTGTAAATTCTCTCCTTACCTTTGCTAATATCATGGCAGAATTTTTCTTATCCCTTGTGAGGCAGTTTGTTGACTGAGTTTTTCATCCTTACAATCCTGTCCCATGGTATTTAACATAAAAAATAAAACTGTTAACAGATTCTTGCTCGGATAGCTTGTTTGTGTCTGCCATGTCATTGGGGTGGGCCGGGGCGGGGCGGGGCGGGGCGGGGGCGTGTCAGAAAGTCTACTCTTCAGAAATGGGACTTTATAATGCATTCATTTCTCTTGTAGGGAACTTTTGCCAGTGCTTCATTATTTGTGACTTGAAGGTTTCAGTCTGAGAAACAAATAGATACAATTTGAAGCTTAAATTGATTTGAAGAAATGTAAAAGTGCTATAATTGTAATGACTTTCATGTATGCCAGCTGATTGTGACTGTATCATTCTTTTTTCTCCTGAGACTGGGCTTTTCTGTAGCTTTGTAGCCTGCCCTGGAATTTGCTCTATACACCAGACTGGCCTTGAACTCCACCTGCCTCTGCTTCCCGAGTGCCAGGGTTAAAGGCTTGTGCCACCACTGCCTGGCTGGAGGATTTAGTTTTTGAAAATCAAAACTTTTTTTTTTCAAATTAGTCTGTTAACCGTGTGAAGCACAGTTACATTTCGAAAGATTGTGTGTGTGTGTGTAAGTGTAAATTATTCATACTGAGATAATTTTAGAATCAGAAAATACACGGTTTTCAACTGAGTATAGTTTATTACAGGTGAGTTAATGTTCTCAAAATAGGTGTTGGTTTTGTAAATGTGATTCTCTTGGAAAATAAAATGGCTTGTGGGGCTTAATGTATAGTGAAGTGTTACAGGTCTGTACATTTTATGGAAGAATGAAGTGCTCTCAAGTATTTAGTTGTCTTGAATTTCTCAGATTAAAATACTTATATATAATGTATTATACTCTATGGTAACTTTTCGTAATAAAAACCTAGGGACAGATACCAGGTTTCAAGCTGAAGATCAGAGAAGCAAAGCAGCCAGCTACTAGAGAGTTCTAATCTATCAATGCTCAGACCAAAAGGGGCATCTCCCTACTGCACTGCTCTCCCCCAAGCCTCAGAACCCTAGATACCTCCCATCCCCACCCACACATACACGCTGCAAAGAGATCCCTAGTGCTGGGAGTAAAGGCGTGGTGGGCTCTTTCTCTTTTAGACTGATTCACTGTAATGCAGCCCTGGTGGCCTTGAACCCACAGAGATCCATCTGTCTCCCGAGTCCTGGGATTAAAGGTGTGTGCCACCACTGCCTATCCTTTATGACTGTGACTAGCTTAGCATTCTGATTCTCCAGGCAAACTTTATTAAATCATAAGCAGTATATCACCACATTGACAGGAAGAACAAAGCAGCAGAAACCCAGAAGTTAATGCTTACCTATTACTAGGTTGATTCTGCACGTAATGTCCCTGTAGCTCTATATGCAGTACTGTCATAGTAAGCTCCCTCCCCTCAGCTGGAAAAGCATGACAAAAATCTTAACGTTTCGTCCCAAAAATATATAACCAGCAGCTCCATTTAAAGCCCTCTGTAAAATCAGTGTCTGTGTAAGTTCAAGTTTGATATTGCTTGAATTGCTTTTTAAAGGGAAAACAAATCCTGTTTATGGAAATGGTCACTGCAATTTAGTTGTTTCTCAGCCCCTTTGTTATGTAGCTGAGGAGTCTGAGGCCTTGAAGGGCTGGAGGGAGCTTCACCGCTGTCTCAAGGCTCTTAGAGACCCGTTGAAACCAGAAAGGTTCTGGTAGCTGTGGAAAAGTAAGACGTTGTAATTTGATGCACAGCTGAGATAACTTTTTAATGGAGACTTCATACCATGACCACCTGCTGTGTGTGTGTGTGTGTGCGTGTGTGTGTGTGTGTGTGTGTGTGTGTGTGTGTGTGTGTGTGTGTGTGTGTGTGTGTGTTCAGGCGGCAGGTCCCCGTGTTGATGGTGACCATTGTGTATTGTGATGCAGTGCTACCTACTCTGTGTGTGTTTCTGTGTTCAGGCGGCAGGTCCCCCGTGTTGATTTGGTGGTGGTTGAAGAGTACATTGTAGTACTTGGTTTTGTGGTGAATTATATTCTGTATAGCATCTTTTGAAAATACACATGGGCCTCTCTTAACTGTCCATCTCAACTTAGGAGATGTTCTGGTTCTATAGGAGACTTGAAGTTTTTGTTCTTTTTTAATTGCTCTGATGTAGGTGGAGTTTTGTCAGGGCCATCAGCTCCAAAATAAACATGCAGAGGCTATTACAAATGCTCGGCCAATAACTCAGGCCTAGAGAAGTTAAAATGTGTGGATAAATTGTTTAAAGATGTGGTGAAATGCCATTTTCCTTTTCACATTAAGGCAAAGGTATTTGAAGTCAGTCTTATGCTTGTTAGTCTTTAGTAGGATATGGGATAGCGGAGTATTCAGCCTGTATTTGATGACGTGTGAGGAGAAGCCACACCCAGAGTTTCATGAACCAACAGTGGCATCTTGGGAATGCCTGGTTGTCTTGGGTTGGTGCTGGGAGGCTGGGACATTGATTCCTAGGGAAGTGACTTGTAACTAATCTTCATACATTTCTCATTGCAGAAATGTTATTTCTAAGCAATAAAGATGAATAAAATCAAATGTGCAGTGCACCATTAATTGCTCTATTCATCATAACTTCATTGTGATACTGATATAGGAAAACTAGAGGTTATATACAGTTATGGTCTGCTTTCCTGGAAAAAAGTGTGAGGACAAATAATTTTCTTAAGGGTGTGGATGTTCTGTGACGACACTTGATTGGCGTGTAGGTTACTTCTACCCAGTCACACCTTTCAGTTATAGTTCTTGTTTAAGAACTGTTTCTTGGTTACCAGTTGCTCCTATGTGTAAGAAACTTCCCAGTTACTGTTCCAAAAGGAAGCATGAAGTTAGTTTATTGTACATAGGCCACTGTCCTAAAGTCCAGGTTAGTGGAGGTTTTTAATTTGCAAATGTGAACTGTCAGTGGAAAAGAACGGAGAAATTTCATGAGTTGGAGTTGTAGTGATTTTGTGACGCCACTGAAGTAGTTTACTTGGTTCTGTGTCAGTACTGAAAGTTTTCAAGGAGGATGCTTTTCTGAGGGCTTGCTTACATGCCATCAGTCACCTGTGTCACATCCTCACAGATGTGAGGAGAGGGTGCATTGTGGTGCAGGAGCTCGTTTAGCTCGTACGGGGCTAGGTTAGTAAGAGATGAGAGTGGTCAGGAACCCTGGCCCCCTCGCTGAAGGAGATCGTGCCCTGGTCCAAGGAAAGAGACCCTTAAAGGAAAAAAGGGCCTGGCCTTTTTACTTCTGCTTCATAGGACATCCTGATAGTTCCTTCAGTGTCCTGTCATGTCAAGATTTCAGAACCTGCCCTTTTCCTTCCGAAGTATAGCATCTTCCATCCTCAGCTGCTGAAGAAAGCCAGTGTGCAGTTTGTGAAGATTTAATGACTTCAGTTGGGCCTGGTGGTACAGGTCTGTGCTCCTAGGAAGCTGGAGGGCTAGGAGTGCTTGACAAGCTCTGCCCCACTACAACAGAGTTCAAAGAACCTGCTCGAAAAATAGAGGGAAGGCCCGAGGAGGTCACTGCTGAGGGGTGTCTAGCATGCCGGAACCCCTATGCTGCCTTTAAACCAATGTGTGGTTTATTGAGTTTGTGTTAACATTCTTGACTATTTAGTGCCTGTCAGAAAAGTCCTACAGGCCATTAAGGATGCTGCCTAAAACTTACTTGAAGCTACACAAAATGTGCTCCAAAGGGAAGCTAATTTTACTACTTAAGAGATCTGCTTCACGTCAGAGCAGTCGGGGTTCCTAACTAGGTAGAAGTTAGGCTCCAGAAAGGTTTAAATATAGTTGTGAATAACATGTTCTGTGTACTATTGTAATTCAAAGCATATTGCTAATGTATGTAATGTCAAAGATGTAAGTGTGTTAGACTTGGGAGAAGAGTTCATTTGGAAGAAGTAACCCTTGGGAGCCAAAAGGGTTTTTGCTGCCCTGCCCCTGGTTCCATTTTTTTTGCCACGTATTTGGTGCTTGGATCACTTTTGTCCTAAGAGTCTATGAAATTTAAAGTTTAGTGGGCATGTTTACTGAAGTGAGCTCTCAGCCCTCTGAAGGGAAAAGACTCCACTGGGTCTCCAGGAAATCATCGATTGGGAGGGGGGACGCCAACGACACACGACTCCTCGTGTGTTTTAGGAAGTCACAGTCGCTTAGCAAAAATGTTTCCTAGTGAGGGAATGCCTCAATAGAACTCTGTGGGGCCTGGTGCCAGGCTCAATGTGGATACCTGCTGCTCAGAGCCTAGTCCTCAGAACCCACAAAAGATGGGAGTTGGCCTCTGTGTGTACTACCTTTCCCCACTAGTAATTCATCCAGATCTTACAAGCCGCAAGTTTTGAACTGGGTGAGATGGCTCCTTTTACGGAAGGAAGGCGGCAGGATGGAAGTTTCCAGTACCTACCCTCTTTGATGAATACGCTTAAGGGTACCCAACATGAGAGTTAAAATATGCCAGAACTCGTGTTAATAAGTTTCGCATCTCAAGGTGAGTAGGGGGAGGTCCACATAGAGAGGTGCTCATGTCTCCAGCAGGTAATGCTCATTTATTAAATGCATAATTGAGTCTATCCTAGAAAAGCACACTAGATGGCAGTAGAGAGTAAGGTTAGGCATTTGCTCAGTGCGTTTCCCATCCCTGTAGCAGGAGAAACCGATAACCTTCCAAATGGTTCCTTCTTCGTGTGCGTCCCTGCCTGCCTTCTAAAGTTCTCCTCAGCTTTCTGTAACCCTTTACTTTTCCTGTTTTCTTTAGATCCTTTAGGGGCCAGTATTAGTGGAGGTTTACTTGAAGTCCTTCCGACTTAACCCGAGTTCCTTATTTCATAGTTCATACTGTATGTAACCACCAGTAGGATGTGTAGCAGTCATATTTCCAGTTGTCACCTAAGTGTGTCCCTTACTCAACTAAGTCTAGTTTATTTTCATCCCATATAATGCCCTTGAAGTGCTGGGATGCTTTCCCTTGCTGCCAGGGTTAGAACCAAAGTGGTCCCAGTAGGTGAAGGCCCTGCCACACCCTGAAGCCTGCTATTGAGCCAGTGCCTGACCTTG